GATACTAATAACTGTTCAGAATTTGGTATACAAAATGTATTTTATTGTTAAAAGTGTATGAAGACACAATGTTGAACACAAGATCCACATCTGCTGCTTTTATACTTTTTAATTTTTTTAGAAACGTAATGATCTATATCTAGTACCTATGCTACAAATATTACAAATAGTACTAGTAAGATATATAATATATAATACAGATACTACATATAATACAAATAATATATATATGATATATAAAATAAATAATATAGATGCTACAAATATGACATGTAATAGATATACTATATGTAAAACATTTTGCGCAATAAATTATCAGCCAATCAGATTGTGACACATGTGATCTATATATAAATCACTTAGTCAAATCACATTTTCGATGATATCTCAGCTCTCTGTAATTGGATTTGGGTGATCTCACTACCTTTAGATTCGACTCGACAAGCTGATTCGAATGGTGGTAGTTTCATTTTGATTGGACTGGTGGTTGTGAAAATATTCTTTCAAACGATCTTTTTTCTAATATTAAAAATACGTATAGAGATGTTATAAAAGGTGTTATTTGTATATACCAGATTAAAGGAAGATACAGAATGAAACATAGTGTTGTATGTAGTTGTAGGCAAAATTAATGAATATAGAAAGTCAAAATTAGAGCTTACGTGCGTAAAAGCGCATTTTTAACATATTTGAAATCTAATAAAAATGAATCAAAAAATAAGGTGGATGGGTAGAGAAAAAAAGTAACTGAATATATGAAATTAATTGAAATAAGCCAACTCAACTACACTTTTCTTAGAATAGCACAATATGAATATTTAAAATTAACAGATTAATACCGCCAAAGCCTTGATGAAAGAATCATCTTTATTGTATAATTTTTGATGAGAAAAAATCTAGTGCATTCGATTTATCAAATGTATAAAGATTGATTCATATGTTGTTTGATACTCGTAAATAGTTTGCATAAAAGTGATATAATGAAAACATCATATAAAAGTGTGATAAATCTATAAAAATGGGTTGGAAGTCTTTTCTTTAAATTCCAAAATTTGCTAAGAGCATATATTGTCTTATGGTTTAGTATCAGAAGGACATACAATAAAAAAAAAAAGTAAAAAAAAGTAAATAAAATATAAACAAAATAATCAATTTAATCAAAGATAAGAAAAGTACTTATATGAAAGCTGGTATTTAGGACCTAATCGGCTTCACTCATAATTACTAAAAATAACATGATTATCTAAAAAAAAGGTTCATTTATAGAAGTTCAGAGTACAAAAAAAAATGAAAAACTGGCGGCACTGGATAAAAGCTTCAAGAACCTACAGTAGCAATGATGAATCTAATGACATTAAGAGTGATGATATAGAAATAAATGTTTTAGGAAATAAAAAGCGAATAGCATAATTACAAGACTGTTGCAAGCAGTTCTGGAAGTAACTAATAATTAGCCACTTGTATACATTAAAAATTCAGAAAGAATAAGAAGGCAACGAAAACAATTATCATGACAAGCTGCAGTTGGAACATCTAAATTAGAGTTATTTTGATTACTGGTAGCTATTTTTTTATTATTTATTGATAATATGGTTAGTGGATTGTGTTTTAATTTATAGAATTATTTTTTTTTGAATAGAGAGTGGATATATATATGAGTGATAGTATAAATATGAATGATGAACCAATTGGTTCAAATAGTGACTCTAAAAATGATTTTGAGGTTGAGGCTATAAAAGACCATAATATAATGTCTTCTGAAATCTTGAATAATATAATTGAACAATTGAAAGAAGAAATCAAAAATGATAAATATAGTAAGGTTAAGAAGGCTCACCTCTACACAATGCTGTCTTATTTATATCTTGTAAAACATGGCCAACAAAGAGTTGAAGCAAGCATCATTGTAGCGGAAGCAGCTGAAAAAGGTGCTTATCATGCCCAATATATTGTTATTGCTCTATTTTTGTATAACTAGGCTCAAGTTGGAGACCAACAGAAGGGAGCAATAACTAGCAGTTTGATTTAAAGAACTAAAGCAGAAAGTAATATTTAAAAGGTAAAGTTATAATAGAATAATAATAAACAGATAAAATGGAGTATATCCTTATTAGATTTAAAGGAGTCCAAACTTAGTTCTAGCAATATAGCGAATACTATTAGACTCTGGAAATCCAAACCTTATATACTCTAAAGATATCAAGAAATGACAAGAAAAATAACAAGAACTCAAGGAAAATGCCAATTT